GGCACTACGCGGATTGGACCTGGTACCAAGATAACTACGGAGCGGACTGGTGGGGTCGCGGCCGATAAACCCCACCTATGCACGGCGGGAGCCGATGCCTCATGACAGTTGTGCTGTTCTTTTCATCTAGTGCTTGTGGTAGCGCATTGTCTTTCTAGGCGTCGAAATGCTCTCGGAAGCCCTTGCACGCGCTGCGGAAGCAGTTGCCTCACGTCATCTTCTTTGAGGCTGTCCGCATTCTTTGCAAGGCGTAAATTCGATTTAGCCGAAGTGCACTCTTCCTGAAACGGAAGCATCACTAATTATGCCGCGTGGAAACGTGTGCCTACGTAAAAGGCCCATTTCCAGTTTGACGATCTGCGGATGCATGTGAAAAGAGCTACGTCCGACTGCAATTCGTCCGTTCGGCATTTTTACTTCATAACTAATCGAGTTAATCGTCGTTCCCTCGCGCCTCAGGTCGGCAAAGAATCTATGAAAGCCACAGGCACGTATGGTGTTAACCATGAAAGGAAACACCGGGGAACCGGAGGTCAGATCGGTATGCACGTTGTCCCGTGTACATAGTCGTGTATAGTGTTCTTCACTACCTTAGCTGCCAAGTGCGTTCAGCGGGGGGTGTATTTGCACGATTGTACACCTGTACATACCATATTGACCTCTATGTTTGGCTCAAGAAAAGGGCGCTCTACATGTTGGTACTTGTAGGCTGTTGGCCTGTAAATTCATGTTCTCCCAAACAACCAACGCATTGCCCTCCCCCCTCGCAACAAAACATCACAGGACGATCACAGACCACGCGGCGGCCCTTCACGGCGTGGAACCGGTTTGAGCGACTTAAAACAAGCGTTTGTGGCCACAGCTCGAAACGGTGCGCCAAAGCCTGAATGAATGTGTTTTTTCAATCCAACCCCGGCTTCACACACAACAAAAGCCACGGAAGAATGAGCATGGCATAGTTCAACATGTAGTTTTTGAGAGTTGGTTGTGGTGCTCCACAACGTGATCTCCAGCACAGTTCAGGAGCTAATAGCTCCTGTACCAATGAAGTCAAGGGAGTAACATGTACCAAACAAGTATTTTTGGTGCGACTTCCGGCGTCGCTTTTAGGGCTCCATGTTATTCATGGCACTTTCACTTTCACGAGCGCGCCGGAGCAGTACAGCGCAGCGCCTTAAAGCTGCGGCAAAGAACATCAAGATTGTTCTCCTCCGCAACAATAACAAGTTGCGAATAGAGCCATCGTAGGACCCGCTGCACCTATTGTATCCAATTGTGTTTATGTTGTTTGTCCATTTTTATGTGTTGTTCTTTGTGGTTATCCGCTCCACCAGGTATACTTTGATTCTGGAGCGTTTTGGTATCCTTTCGGTACTGGTGATGGACTGGTCAAGCCTTTGACCAAGGGCGGCTGCCAGCAACAAGTTGTCAATGAGGGTGGAGATTCGCATTGAGGAGCATGTGGAACAGAGGTGCGCAGCATGTTTTCTGTGCATGGGAGACTGATGCATTTTGTCCACACATGATTCGCTTCAATACCAAAACACATGGATGTACTCCTGTGCCCCGTTCTGGATGCTGGGGCAAGCAGCTAGCCAAACATCCTGCTTTTTTCCAGGACAAAACAAGCTGAAGACCTGCACACATCCCGTTCTGTGCATGAAATATGTAGAAATCCTGCACTGGACCCATCGTTCAAACTCAACGTCCTGCATTCACCTGGGAATCAAATCCTGCACATGGTCAAGCAGTTGGGAAGTCAGATGTGTTTGTTCTGCAAAACACATTGTGCATGTGCCTGTTTCTTTGTTTGCCACATTTGCGACTGTGTCTTAGACTGGGGATGTTGCAGCCTTCGGAGCTGAAGATGCCCCGCTGCGGCCAGAAGAATTCTCAAGGGATGTTGACACGTGTTCCCTGTACGTCTTGTATAGGTCAGAGTAGTGGTCATGTTCAGTCACTTTGAACGTCTGGGAGATCAGCTTGTTAATATGTTTTTGTCCACACAGGTGGTGACTGACATACTTGACTTCAAAAGGACCACATCAACATGATGCTAACAACAAGTGGTGAGAGTGTATTCACTGAGTATTCCACCCCTCAATCATCCTTTGCCAGAGTCCCGAGCCAGGCCAGCAAAGAAACAGGCCATGAATTTAGCGGGATCGGTTTTGAGCAATGCGGACTCTGTTGTAGTTACTTAAAAAAAAACACACACCTTTCATTTGGATTGTAAAACCTCCTCATGTGATTGATTAATCTAATCAAGGGTCTACATTACTGGCAGGTTCAGAGTCTGAGAGCTCTCAGGAGTTTCGGGATTCTGGACCAAAACGTTGTGATACCAGTCGAATGAATCCCAGACAGCTAAAGTGGCCCAAGTTGAGGAATCATATGTGTATTTTTGTGTATGTTCATTTGGAGACACACAACCAATGGGTTTTGGTCGATCGTCCATCTTCCAGGAAGTGACAACCATATCATTCTGTGACGTTGTGATTTTCCTTTAGCAAACACCAAAGCTGTTTTGCACCACAGACCTGCCCTCACGTCCCCTCCCTAAGACTCGTTTCATCCCGTTTCTATTGAAGAAAACAAACGGTTTGTGGTTTTGACTCCACCCCACAGAGTTGGAGCTTCACATAGGGACCCCAGCTCTCATCTCCCCCCGGTGCATGGACATGGGTGAGGGAAGGGAAGGCATGTTTTTTACAGAGCGGCCGAAGCTTTGGTTCTTATACCGAAAAAAGTCGACAATCTGTTTTCACCTTTTGGGTGATTGGGGATACCCCAGTCGAATCCAGGTGGAAAGCTCCTGAAACACAGCTGGGGGGTCCGGAGTCACGTCGGCGCTCTGGTCTGGGAATACGTCCGGAGTCACGTCGGCGCTCTGGCCACCACCAACCAACGCCCAATACCAAGAAAGAGCACTGACCACTGACCGGGTTCCAGATGTCCAGAAACGATCGACAGACTGGGCGGAAACTTCTGGAAATTCTTGTAGTCCGCACACACCACGACGATGTACCAACATGTGTGCCCACGACGATGCACCAACATTTGCACCCTACATTAAGTGAGCCAACCAAAAGAGAGACACCGAACGTTCTCAGACGTTCTTTGCAGGCTCCCGTTCTCCTTGAGATGGACCCAGCTGAGAGGCTTTCAGAAGCATTGAAGAGGCGTTTCCCTCGCTGTTCGCACAGCGGGGTCGGGGGTGGGTCGGGGGGGGGGGGGGGGGGTGGGGGGGGTATCGCGTGCGAAAGTGGACATTCACTTGAGCCATTTTCAGCCTTTTCTTGGCTGGGCTCTGTGGATTATTGGATGGTTGTTGGTTCAACAGCTTTTGAGTCAGAGATTACTAAAGCATACTATATAAAGCATTCTAAAGCCATATATGTTTGATAGACTCTGTGCTTGCTTACTCTGCTGGCCAGAACCCAGTGATGAGGTGTAACCTCAAGGATCCAGTTTTGTAGTACCAACCATTCAAGGAAGGCCTTCTCCCCTCAAAACACAGGCCAACCGGGTTCTGTGCTGTTCTAGGTACTTTATCAGATTATTTATGCTTTACCAGACTATCGGTCCATCCCTGGGAGCAATTCTACCAGTTCTCTTGAGATTGCAGGCACCATACACTGATTGCCCCTACCGAAACCGCACGAGCCATCGTGCCCATTGATCGGCCAGCCCCATGAGCGCGCTGAAGTCTGCTAGTGAGCAGTTGCATGAAGTGGCAGAGAAGGCGCAAACCTTGAGATGAGATGGACTCACAGTGGGTTCTGTGGCGCAGGAGTTTGTACATGGCCTTTTCAATGGCATGAGATTTCTTCAAAAGTCAGTCCCATGATTTAATCTGCAGTCCATTGCCCTCCCCCATTCATCAGAGGTCGCAACGTTTACTTTGCTCGGACGCATGGACAGATGGTCAAGAAAATCATCCGGGAGTGTACACTACACCATTTCCTCTTTATATAAATTGTTTTCTATATAATATATAGTTGGCGAGTATATACATGCAGTATATGTATATAGTACCTGGACCTTGACCCCTTTGAAGATGCTGGTAGATTTATACGGGGTACATGTATAGTTGTTCGAACACGTAGTTGTTGTTCACCTTCAGCTGCTCGTGGAGAAATCACTTGGAGACCTCACGTCAAGCTCAGCTGCTCTCCTCGGGGACCGGGAGGATCTCCATCTCCCCGCGTCGTTCGTGGAACAGGACCCTTTCAACACAAGTACCTGTCCCCAGTCTCCGAGACACGACAGGAGTACAGGCATAGGTTTCGAGCCTAGTTTGGGTGATGGCTCCAAGTCATGATAATATTGTGTGTAGGCCGTCCGATCTCGGTAAAGACACCATAGACTACAACCTGCCCTGCTCTTGAGTTTGAAGCAGAAAAACGTTGTTGCATGGAGCAGTGTACCCCCCGACCTCGGCCGACCACTGCAGACCACGAATGCCGTGGCGAAGTTCACAGATGCAGCAACTGAGGCGCCGAGAAGCCGCGGATGAGGTAAAACGGTTTGGAGAAGCATGGACCCGAATTGTAGAAGTTTGACAGAAAGAGAGAAACGGGCACAACCTCGAAACCGTAGTTAAATCATCAGTGATTTCCAGGTCTTGTTTTTGTTTCTGGAGGATCTTTTCATGAACTTGTGTGTCAAATCAGCACTGGCGTAACCGGATGATAGCCGCTGGCTATCGTTTTTCCTACATCATACATGTATGTAAAAGACTTGGAGTTGTTGAAGCAACATACCCAGGGTCTTTTGGAGTTCAGGATGAACATGCTTCCCAACATGCACTCCAATTCCGGCGATGCCATCATGTCTTGGCCCTTGCCGCGATGTTGGTCGGTCCGACGTTCACCCATGACCTGATGGCACCCCATGAACGACCGCCACGGACCCTAACTACCCATCCCCGCCCCATGTTCTGATGCCCATGCACATCCATTTACTGCCGCCACTGGCCGCTGGCTTCACCCTGGACGGATTGACCCGGTCCAGTGACGAACTCGGCGCGAGAGTTCTACAATCCGTCCTAGACAGCCCGACCCGTCCACCACAGCCATGTCGGAGCCTTTAGCGGTCGAGCTGAAGAATGAGGTCGGGCAGGGGCGGGGGCAGGGAGACCGGTTGGTTCACCCGACACGTGATGCTTGGCGAACGAGAGTGTTTGATGACGCTCGCGCGAGGTGTGTGATTGACACACCGGACGTGCGTCCGTCGAACCGGGCGAAGCAGATTAGGATGGATCCTCTAGAGGTGTTTTTAATGTGTTTTACCATCCAGTACTTGCGGAAGACTTTTTTTTACGCAGTGGTACGCGTGCAACGGGAGTGACTGGATGTTTTTTATTTTTTTTTCAGCAGATGGCGCTATATACAGTGTTCTTGCCCAAACACTTCATGTATGACAATGTCATGTGTAAATATTCCGATCCCATTGAGAAGTGCTGTCTTGCTCGTTTCTTCGGGCAGGCTTCCTCCTCAGTACGGGGCGTCTCAATGTGGGGCACCGTGGTCACCATGCTCAATGTCTTCGTGGGAGGCGTGGTCACCATCCCATGGGTCAGGGTAGTACCTTCTTGGATGTTTAAAGGGAGGTGAGTACCTACTTCCAAAGAAAGGTCGATGGTCCTGGACCCTTAGGGCTGGCGATGCGGAGCTAGGGGACAAGCTGAACGTGCGACATTTTCTGAGAAAGATTGTTGGGTGAGGTGGAGTACCTGGACCCTCTAAATGGGACACGACCCTATGAAAACATGTTCTGAGGGACTTCGTAGAATATGAGTGACATCTGTCGGTATCAACTACACAAGATCTGTCTTATTCATAGGGAAACTCATAAGAAAGCAGATGTCCATTCCAGGTGCTGGCAGAGCAAGAACATGAAAACAAGAGGTATGTTGTAAGGAGCTGGGAGGAGGGTCCATGTTGGTGTCTTTTGTGTGTAAGAGGAGCAACATTTAAATAGATCACCGACATTCCCCAACAGGCAGACTCAGGTCAGCTGTGATTTTGACCTGAATTGGCTTCAACTGAGAGAATTGAAACCAATCGCCTTTAGATTCTGTTCAGTCAAAGACAAGAGCAGCAGTCGGAATAAAAAAACATGTATAGACTCTTGATGAACCAATACCCTCCACCCTTTTGGATTCAAAACACCTCTGAACATATGGGAGTCCCATTGGTATCATCTGGGAGTCCGAAGTGCCGACATACCTGCATGGGAGAGTGCCGCGTATGTGTCGACAGACACGGCCCCATGAGACACCTCCCACCGGTTCGTAGACAAAGAGTGATTCTGTGCTCCTTTTTTTGGTAGGTCATCTGTACAAACTGGAGCGTCTAGGTATAGAACTTAGCTTTTGCAACCAGTGACTAATTAATATACTTTATGCTACTTTTAGTGTTATTTGTATCCATTGACTCTTCTACGCAACATGGAGTGGTTGGTATTTAGGTCTAGCTATGTCTAGCTCTGAAAGTCATCCGACTGGCACTCCCTTGACCCATATGCTCCTCGAGAAATCGACACTTCACAGCCCTTTGGGCCCTTGGAACTCATAGGACTTGAGTGTTTGGAAGCCATTCTCAAGGGAGTAAGATCTTTGGAATGGCCAACCGGATCAGTCGACCGGAATGCTTGTTTATGACCTATCCAAAATGTGGATCACCTGCAACACTGTGATTTTTCTTGGGGGAGGCATATGGGGGGGCACACCACTCAATAACACTTGAACCAGCGATCGTTGCACGGCAAAGAAGCGCAGGTTTCGCCGACGCCGGCCAGGTGGTTTCGTGGTCCTGCCCTACGCCTTCCGCTTGTCCGGGTGGCTTTTCGTGCCCGTGCTCTTGGCGGTTGGCGTGCTGATGGGCTTCACACTTTGGCTTCTTGGCAAGATGGGGTTCTGTAGCGCGGGTCCGGGCTTCGGGGGTTCGGATTTGGAAGGATCCACAGAGGAAGAAGAGACTTCAGAAGGACTGAAACCTCCTGGCAGCTATGCCAAAGAGTGTCCAATCACCTGCCTTCGAGGGTATTCATGGGTTCTATCGGGGATTAAGAGCAACGTGTTGAACTCTTCGCACCGAAGGAAGGTTCATCTCTCTTGGTTGCCAGGACCCCGGGCCCGGCGGACCGGCGGCCCGGTATGGGTGCTTCAGCTCAGCTTTCCAGGCTCCACATGGAGCGTTTGGCTCCATTCGTAGTCATGCCAGGAGCGCCCCTCGTAGCCATGTAAACTGCAAGAGTTCGCATGACCCAATTCTGAGACCTGACCATTTGGCCCATCCGGGTGAGTGACACATACGAGCTGGTGCGAAGCTAAGGAATCTAAGGAATGGGTATCCATTTTCGATGATATTCCTCATTAAACAGGGAGCCAAGGAACTACAGCGAGTTCCCCAACCTCTTGCTAGCATACAGTATACCCAACAGAAGAACACAGGTCACTTGGAAGCCCGTCAAAGTCATGTTCTCATCCCAGTTTCCTGGAGATTGTTTATGATGTTGTTTGATCATGGTCCCATTTGCAGTATAGACACACATGTATGAAGACCAGTTGGTGTTATACTTGAGGCCAGGGGTACATCCAGCTGAGGATCATGGGTTTCCTTCTGCAGATGGTCGACCAGAAGGCCGACGAGCTGAATGTGCCACGCTCGCAGCGAGACTGGGGCTGGATCGGCTCCTTGGTTCAGCAATGGGAGACCGGATGACCAGGCCCGACCCTGTTCATGCTGGAAAATGGATGAACATGGGACATGGCCTGAACAAAAAACAGCTACTTCCAAGCTAAAAGATGTGTATATTACCTGGAGGCGACCTGTTCATACGTTGGAGTCTCTTGTTCGTACGGCGTCATACCTGTTTTTTTGTTCAGGTCATGTCAGTCATGTCCGGAGGCTGGTGGATCCACATGACTGCTGCATGTCTATCTATGACTCATTAGGTGTTTTGGGGATTGTCTTTGGTGCTCAACATACTCTCCAAAGCCATGTGTCATGAAAGTGGTGTGAAACACGCTGAGATACACTTTGCGTGAAGGAAGATGTGCGTTTCGATATTGTTCCGGAAGTTATGCCATCCACTTCCATGAACTCGCCAGAGCTTATAGAGCATTGAGGACCCCAGAAGTTTAAGGGCCAGTCAAAGGCCAAAGGCCTTCCCCTTGGAGAGTGGTGGGTTTGGTCGGCTTTTGCTTCGATGATCTTTTGATGACTATGATCAACGAGAGGTCGTTGTCAACAAGTGCCAGGGTGTGGCGTGGTGACAAGGGACCTGATTGGGGTGCATGTGGAGCAAACAGACATCACTTGATGGTTGTTTCAGACATGTGTTCATCATTTCTCTCGTGCCCATTCTTGTGCTTCCAGTTGTGGTCTTTGATGGTTTGCGTTATAAGCCGGGGTCAGTCGTTATAAGCCGGGGTCAGTACAAGATATTTCAACCTTTACTTGGGATGATTGAACCCACTGACTAAGACGTTTCAACAGTTTCTAGCTTCGTTGGAACATCATCCACCTCTTCGATTCATGGGGTGAGTGTGGAACCATTTGCCTGCCTACATGGGGTGACTTTAATGCATTACTATGGATAAATATATACCAGGACCCTCCAGTCGGGGTGCCCTGTCTGGAAGCCTATAGGTAGTGTGGGGTAGTCCAGCCAGGACACCCCGACAGGAGGGTCCAGGTATATTCATATTTCATACATGCATGGTCCAAATAGCGTCCCTCCGCCCAAGGTTTGTAAAGGTAGAACCGAACCTGGGGGGGCAATTGGTACTTACCATCGTTCTGTCGGTGGCCCATAGGGTCCAGGTACCTCCTGAGGATGGTCTTGGAGGTGAGTACGTACTTCCAGAGAAATGGTCTTGGGGGGTCAAAGGACATCCTCAGGATGGTCCTGGACCCTTAGGGTGGACAACAAACATCTTTCGTTTGCTCACAGTGTGGGACTGTGGGGCGGCAATTGCTCACCGAAACAACCATGAACCCAATCTGTTCACAACCTGCTGCCATCGCAGCCTTAGCCAGGCTACATGGCCTTCGGAACCCCCGGGCGGCTCTTGTTCGCCGGGTGCATGTTCTTCGACCTCGCAGGAGACCTACGAGGGACGAGGGACGAGTGTTGTGTGTTGGTGTGGGACGAGGTAGACGGTGCGAGGGACTGTCCCAGTGCCATTTTAGTGGTGCTGGGCATATGGCGATGGGTCGCTTGAATTGAATTGATTGGATTCTTCAAATCTGACAAAAGGCAGTGAGAGGGGACAGAAAACATAAGAAAACTTGAGAGGAGGGAGACACGAAAGGTAGGACAGCGGGAAGAGAAGAGAACGCGAGAGGCAAGAACAAAAATGCAATGTTCGACATGGTGATTTATCCCCTCGGAGGCGACCTGTCGTAAATATATGTTCATATGCACTCTAAATGTTCAAACATATGCTCTCGAAATGTTCAAAAAGATTCTGAGGAAAACACACTTGCCCCATGGCTCAGATCATCGGTGAGCATTGAATCGGAGCATCATAGGATTTGAACTATCCTGAAACCATAAGAGGCTCACGAAGACGTTCCCCAGGAGAGAATTGACGTGCTTCACAAAACAAACTCTAGGTATGTATCCCCTCGGGGAACACCTTTCGTGATTATGCACTCTTTCTGAATGTTCAAGAGGGTTTCAACTATCCTGAAATCATGAGAAGCTCACGAAGACGTTCTCCAGGAGAGAATTGAATTTAGAGGGGGGG